GCGCACTGCCTGAGTGGGGGGAACCTAAAACATATACTACTAATATATATTTATTTTAAAATTAATGACATGTACTAAGAAAATACAGTTTGGTATACATATATTATCTGTATAAATATTATAAGGGTATAAAAGTACTATTTTATAAATGTCAACATTTGCAAAGATTAACTGTAAGCTCCACCTGCCTTCTAGACTCCCTTTCATTACACAGTGTTTGCCTGCTGCCAGTTTAGACCTCACAAACACAGAGACAACTGTTCACAGCTCAATACTTTTGGTCCTGCTCCAAATTGTGTGTCAACCAAAAATACTAGAGTTTCACCCTGTTTTGAAGCACTTAGCTTGCAATTACTTTTCTAGCTGGCAAGACTTGCAAGACCAGCACTAGTTTTAACATAGTAAATAACTCCCTCACCATATTACTTGAACTTTCTAACACAGCTCCTTCTTGTTCTCTATTTTAATAGTAAATAATTCACTTTATAATACAAAGAATTCTACTATTAAGGTATATTTTAACTGTTTCATTAGAAGCCTTATGAAAATACACTGAAACTTTATTCCTTCACTCATCTATTAAAATAGTACTTTAAAGCATATTAAAAAAATCATGTGGCAATTTTTTAATGTAAAGAGATCCTAGCAACAGGACACTGCAGGAAGAGATACTTGATCTAATTTTAAGGGGCAATACAATCTGGTTAATCTGTCATTCCCAGAGTGACAATGATTAATTATCTGACACTGACTAATTATCGATATTTAATTTTTTTTTTTTTACTTTTCACAAATATATTTTGCATACTGTATCACAACAGGAAAGAATATTTTTACATTCATAACAAAGAAAAATATATTATAAAAATTCTGTGGACAAAATTGTACACATACTGGCTTCTTGTGTCAAAACCCTAAGATTATACAGATAAATACTTAACATACAATTTCTTGCTACAAAATTTCAGAGTGTTCGGTCTGCAAGAATTGCATGATTACGATGGAATAAAATATTCAGTCACAGACTTATGCTTTAACTCATCACTATAACAGAAGATCACCATAGAGAAAGGAAGTACTGATCGTTTATCTCTTGTTGAGCCAAGAAAAGCCAAAAACCTATCCAGTGTGTTTTGAGTATCACCTGGCTTGACAGGCATTTTGGAGAGCATTTTTAAACAGATTTATTGACAGGAGAAGTCCACTCAGACTTAGGGGGCTGGATGACAGGGCTCCTGATCTAAAGGACTGATTTTTATTAGAGGCAAACTGTGGACCCATGGTAGGGAGTCTGGGGACCTGGGTGCCATTTCCAGCTCTGCTTACTGGTTTGCTGGGTGATCCTAGGCAAATTTATCTCACTTTTCCTGTGCCTTACATATTTGCCTGTAAATGGGGATAATGTACTGACATCTGTAAATAGCTTGAAGTCGCAATGAGGACAAGTGCTGTAGCAAAAGCTTGCTATTGTGTGTATAGTACACGCTTATATGTTCTTTAAGGAATATAAGTACGTGGTAAAAATGAAAGGTGACAAAAAAGCCACACGGAACAGAATAAATCCTAAAGGTCTGGCACTTTTTAATAAGTTTTCTACTACAGCCCAACTGGAAAGAGAGAATTCTACATGGAGACAGGATGTTTGTTTCCAGTTTCATCATCCCATCTTGCTGCACAGAAACTCAACCTCTCTCCCACACCCCCCTCACAGAGTTATCAAAAGTTGACACAAAACAATGACACAAAACAACTTTAAAACACAAAATAAGAGAGAAGCCAGAGACTCGAAGCAAGTTTTGCAGGGGTTGGTATCCCATGTTTGTTTGGTTTGAGAGAATGTGGCACAATGCCTACAGCTGGCAATAGCTATAACAACATCATCACTGCCAATGGAAAACGAAGGAGAGAAAAAGCCTAGAAATGAGGTAAAAGTTCAGGCAGATTGAGTCACTTAGACTTAAATTACAACTATAAAACAGCATTCTCTTCCCTCCCTCCTTGATTGTTAAGGTTTGCATTTGCTACAGAATGGTTTCTCCTCTATGGTTGCTGGCAACTCACCACCTTGATTGACCAGATTTTATATTTGGGATGAAATAAGCAAAAAGGTTTGATACCAAATGAAGCTTTAAAAAAACAAAAACAAACAAAAAAATCACCCCAGCACAGCATTACTGTTATTGGCTTGCAAGGTTCTCTTATCAGAAAAAAAACCCAACAGTAGATTAGGTTGGCCAAAAACAAAAATTCAGGGGTACACTTACTAAAAAAGGGGGCCACCGAGGGTACACTTATTTAAAAAAGGTTGAAAACCCCTCCTCTAAAGAATGCAAAGAACAAATTTACTCAAAAGATTTTGCTGCACTTGAGGGGCAGGGCCCATGTTATTAGAATCCTGAAAAACATCAATGTACGTGGAAAAGCCCATGGCTCTCATTCAGAGCAGAATGACACAGAAGCCAGAGTTTTTCTATAAGCAAGACTATTAACCCATCATATTGTAGTTTTACCATTTATACAGATCTAAGAGGGCTTTGGTAAAAAAATACCTACCCACACTTCTCTTCTGACCTCTGGAGAATCATCTAATATTGCTAGACATGAAAGACTAGTTCTTTAATCTACTACACCTGCTAGCCCCTAGAAGGTTATTTTATGCAACAAACTCTTAAACTATCAATGTTTAATTGGACTGAATGAACTTTTCCATACCAAATAAAAGACAGGGCTGGTTAAGGGAGTTAAACCATATTAAAAATGTGTCTTCTGTTCACAAATAGCAATAACTTATTGCTGTAGCAATAAGTTAATTGCCCTGAACTTCCATGCACTTTAGTACAGCAATAACTTTTCACAAAGGTGCATTAAATCTGATTGTTAACAGGTTTACAGTGGTCTGGGTCACAAGGAACAATAAATCATCATCTGCATATAGGGGGAGGAAGAAGTGACTCACTCAGTGGCTACATCTACATATGCGCTTAACTGAAGAGTAGACTAATTAGCTGCAGAATAAAGTCACAAATGTAGCGACAGTACCATCTTATGCCAGGGTAATTTATCGTGATTAAAGGCACATGTAGACTCTGACTGCATGCAGCAAGTTCTAAAGAGTTACTGAAGATCTAGGGAGATCAATATGGACTGGTACTTAAAGTCTGAACAACAAAAAGTCCTAGTACTTACAGAGCAAAGGAATAAAATTTCCATCCCAAATGTAACCCTCTGAGAAGTAATTATCTGTAGATTTCCAGCTCTTCCTTCAAACAATTAAAATCAAGCGCAAACTATTAACGAATTACCATTTCTTAGGTCACTATCTGAGTTCATTATTCATAGGAACAACCCCCTAAATTCTTCACAATTATGGTGCCTCCTTGGAGAAGCACACAAAAACCCTAACACCTTTCAATGTCCATAAGCAGTCTCATATTTCAGCATGTGACCATACAACAGTGCCATTGAGAATTAGCTAAGAGCTGGTAGACCATCACACATAATGGAACTGTAAAGAAGAAACTCTATAAAAACTGGAACCAAAGCCAATGCTCAGCTCAATCTTTTCATTAAAATGAACAAAATAACTTGTGCGAAAGATTATCTAAATTACCAACTTAATTCAAGTGAGTGCATATATAAACAGGGGTCTACCTAACTTAAGGAGGCAGCCGGCTGATTTTGTGGGCAGATCCCAGGGCCAGCTGCCATTTTCGCGGGCTGTGACAGGCATCCCCAGACCTATGACTGGTTAAGGGGACCTGGTGGCCCCACTCCTCACCACTGAGTGGCTGCAAGGGCTGTCAATCATGAGGCCCCACCCCTCCACCTGGAGAGAGGTGGGGCCAGCTAACAGACAGCCCTCTCAGTCAATCAGCTGTGAGGGGCAGGGGCGATAGCCATCTTGCTAGCTGCATAGCAGGCCACAATGGCTATGAAAACTGCTGGCTCCCCAGATGGAGCCAATATTTTACATTCAGTGAGGTTCTTTCTTTTCCAATATGCCCACCAAAATTGCAGAGCCTGCCATTTTTTGTGGAGCCTACCCAAATTAATTCATGGCTTCCATGAAAATCATGCAATCACAAATTTGGTAGGTCCCTATATATAATTAAATCTGAGAGGAAAGAATAATATCTTCTGATCTAACACCCTAACAAGAATTAGAACACTTACAATACATGTTCTAGGGCACTGATTCTCAACCAAGATACTGCAACACCCTGAGTGTCTTGTCTTGTGACATCTGGTGTTATACAATGTTACCACCATTAGGTTTGCAAACATGATTCACATGATCAACCCTGAGACTTCAAATAGGAATTCATAGTGTTAAAATATTCTGACTTGTTGGGTCTTTCTGAGTTCTTTGCAATAGAAGAATCACTCTTATTATTTTTTCTATAATCAAAATAAGTGAAAACTAACAACTGGAATTTTCCAAGTCTAAAAAGATCAAGAACCACTTTATTAGAGCAGTGACAGGCCAGACTTTTTGCCTAACAGGCCAGATGGATGGTGTCTGGTTTGTCCATGGGCCAGATCCAGCTGGTGGGCCAAATTCAGTGTGCGGGGCAGGCACGGCAGGGCAGGCAGGGCCCAATCTGGCAGTGTGGAGGGGGAAAGGAGCATGGCCCAGCCCCAACCTGGCCATGCAGCTTTGGTACTTTGGGAGGGTGGGGGGAGGGGGAAGGGTGAGTAAGTACTAACTGCTGTTGCTCCCCTGCCACCAAATTGCTGGACCTGTGTGGAGCCCCACAGGCTGGATACCATGGTTACAAAGGCCAGATTTGGCTCATGGGCCAGGGCTTCAGCACCCCTGTTCTAGAGATTGATTCATTAGGATGAATTTAAGAGCTGTTACTCTACAAGAAAGCTTTGAAAAGCAATGCAGGTAGGCAGAAATATAGAGTAACGGAGTGATGGATCAGGCTCAGTACTGAAGAGACTTTTGCAGTGAACACAGCTTACTTTTAATAAAATACATTAAAGGGAACACAAACCTTCTCCTTCAGTCACTTCAGAACGATCTGACTTGGTTTCCTTGTGCTGCCCTTCTGCTACTTTCACAGCCACTGCTCTGCAAATCGCTCCAAGCTTTCGATCCAAAGAGCGGACCCCTGCCTCTCTAGTGTACCTACCAACAAAAAAAAATTAAAATAGATATAGAACTGAATACATTTAAATTTTAAAAAAATATCTCTGCCTTTGCAGACTATTACTATCAAAAGGTAGCTTAGCATTTCAACAAACTTTGGTTCCACACACCTCAATGCACTTCCAGTGTCTTCCACCAGTTCAGTGGTTGGCCCTCTTTAAAACTGTGGCAGCAGACACAGACAGCATGTACAATACTTCTAAAAATGATTTTAATAGTAAGATAAGGATTTAATATAGGTGCCGACCATCATTCTAACAATTTCTCTGAGTTAAAGTGTATGTATATAAAAAAAATAAAAAGTCACATTAGTTTCTTTTTTTTTTTTTTTTTTTTTTTAAATCTACCATGAAAGAAGTCCCTGGATCCTGACAGGCTCAACATCTGGGGCTCTATATTGGAAAGAAATACCCCCAAACAGAAACCAAGTAAGACCTGTTACCCCTTGTTTTTGCCACTTTAAATTAGTATCAGAAAGGGTAGGGAAGTAACTTTTCCAAGATATAGCAGGAGGTTCAAAAGGCATGTAACAAAAACATGTAATAAGTAGTGTATTTATATAGCGATTCCTAAGGATGACATTGACAAGCTGTTCCTAATCTATATATAAAATTTTCATTAAAAAAAGAAAATACTGTTCTGCTAGATAACGAGTATATAAACAGTGTGCATACTGCATCTCTGTGACAGCTGAACTGAGATGTACCATGCCTGTTGCTATTTAGGTTACAAGGAATCCCCTACTTAATGAATCCTGGAGAAACAGTCTGTGCTGTTAGCTTAATAATTTACTAGCCTGTCAGAAAAAAAATACCTAGAATGTAAGAGGAATGAATGCAGCTTTACCTGGTGATGATATCCAGGGTAGTTACTTGGGGAATCTGGATCTGTTGAGGTGTCAAGCCATGCTGTTCTAGCTGCTTAGGGATCAAGTGTCTATGAGCAATTTCTATCTTCTCTTCCTGTGTATATCCTTCAAAATAAAGCATTGTGTTCATTTTCTTGTCTATTCCATACCAAACTTCTCACTAACTCTATGTGCATGATATATAAATTATATATACAAACTATAGGTTCACTCCAGTGGTTTGACTACACTTAAAACTATATCCTGTAAATAAATCAACACATTTCTAAATTATACCCTAAAAACCCTCAGCTTTAGAGTCCAAAGAAAAAATAATTTCTGCAGTAATTTCATATTTATCTACAATACTTTACTGCTGTTTTGCTGCCCAACAAGGAGCATTTTTAAACTAACTATATCCAAGTGCAAAATGTTGAGGGGGGAGAGAGGAAGCCTCTGTTTATGTAGGCATGGCTAATTCTTAGTGAAATTATGCTTGCACGGCATTTTTAAAGTATGATAAGTTATATAAAATGGAAACAGACATATAACTACCTATTTCTCAGTTATAAGTAGCAATTAAATAGTAAAGGTTGGTAGATGTCTAAAGAGTATCTTTTTTAACCCATTCGAAATTAAGCTTTGATCCTGAAAAGATGAAAAAGTAGAACTTGGGTGAATAGTTTCACTGAAGCCAAGGGAACTATTTATGTGACTAAAGTTAGTATAAGGTATGCCTTTCCTAAACTAGTCATAAATTTTAAGTATCAGAATAAAAAACATAATAGAAAAAAGAAATTATCAAGATAATCCTGTCCTCTTAAGAACTAAGACACACTCAGGAAAACATTAAGTGGTTAAAGCATTGCATTATGTAGAGGAAATAATATATGCATTATATAAAAATATACACGAGGAATATATTCTCAGAATTTCAGAATAACAGATACAAATTCAAACTTTCCAAGACAAAAACCAAAAGTTCTCTTTCCAAGAACTTAAGAAGGAATTGTTAGCAAAACAGCCTGGACACGTATGAGTTAATTAAAACACATCAATAGTGTCTAAGACATTGTGCCTCCATACAAGCGGGCCTAGAGTTTCAAGGAATATGTTGAACTCCAACTCCCATCTTTTTTAAAATAAGGACCTGCTACAATGTCTCAGTATGGACAGCCAAAACGGGAGACACCCAATTGGTACTTTCTGAATGTTTTCACAACGGAGTCTCGTTTTCCCCATGCCTATCTTAACAGAAATGCATTGTTTAAGGAAAAAGGTACAGGTTCAGGCCATACCACAGTCATCTTAGCAAAAGCACTTCAGTGTTACCTGGAACCTGAATGACCTCCATTCTATCAAGCAGAGCAGGTGCAATGGTAGCTGTAGTGTTGGCAGTTGCTATGAACAGGACTTGAGACAGGTCAAAGGCTACATTTAAGTAGTGATCAGTGAAACTATGATTCTGTTCTGGATCCAGGACCTTAAGGGAAAGAAATACAAATTGTTGTTATTGCTCCATTGATAGTAAAATGCGCACACTTTTCTTTAATTATATCTTTTGTGTTATTTGCATTTACAGTATATGCTTTTACAATCAAAGCACTGATGTCAAGATTTGCCCAAGGAAGGCAGGCAACATCAGGCCCTAAATGTAATCCCTCATCTCCAACATCCTGTCCAGCTGTTTCAGTTATTTGTTACTGGATTCTACATTGCATGGAATGATAAATTTGTACCAAAAATCACTTAATTAAAACTCATGCCTAGTTTAAAGTAATGACAGTGGAAATTAATCCTTTCCAGACACACTTTCAGTATGAATATAATCAGATAATATGAGAATGTTAAACACTGCCAGAATTCTTCGTTCAAAAATAGTAATATAATCTGAAATTCCTGAAACATGATAATTTCTATACAACACAAACAGTGTATTATGACTCGCAAACCACAGTAAACATATCGAATTTACTTCAGCTCAATTCTCCTGGAACTGCTAGTAACTTACAAAATTAACTGATTTAAAATCTCATATAAAAGCTTTCGTATGTATTAGTCTTTCGCTTCCTGCTTGGCCTTTTTAAGACTGTTACATAATCTTCCAATCCTCATTTTTTCCCCTTAAAGTTGATGCTGATTCTGCCAAATTACAGTGCCAGCAACAGTACCAAGTATTCTAGTGCTCAGAAGCAACCGGTTCCCAAAACTGAACCCCACATTTAAGTGACTGCTCCATCACCAGTCTCCCATGTGACCTAGCTATCTTGCTTCAAAAGAAATAAGATGGGAGCTATTAAGGGCTACAACAGTGAATTTTTCAGACACTTTGGACAGTTTGTGGGTGGACTAAAGGAAAAAAAATAGGTTGTGTTTTAGTAAATGGTTTCCTAAGTCTCTCCAAGATAGTTTCAGCCTTCAATACCAAAAATGTATATGCTTCCCCCCCAAAAAGTATACTTTTCCCCCCAAAAGTCTAAACTAGGTGCTAGTCTCAAGTCTCAGGACATGAGCATTTTGCATCTAATGCAATTTTTTTGAACATAAGATTAAAAATGTCTTCAATCTGCTCTATATCCATTCAGGAATATACTATTTGTCCATTAAAACCAGGAGGGGCATAAAGAAAGGTCACACTCTGCACAGCCATTGTATGGTTCATAAATCAAGTATTGGGCTCAAGTTTTTTTCTGATGTAAATGGGAATTACAATGCTGACTTCAATGGATTTTTTTACTGATTTCAATAGTGTGTCAAATTCTTTTCTATTTTACAGTTAAAAAAATTGATGGACAAATAATCTTACCTCAACATTTACGGTTCCACTGCTAATAGTGATACAATGCAGAATTAAAGCTGTTTAGGTAAGCTTTACATTGTCCTTGCACACCTTTGAATGATTTGGGTTTTCTTCTAAAGCAGTTTTATTTTTTTATGTTTTAAGCAAGCTATTTGTCTGGAGGACAGGGTAGATTCTTGTAGCTGTAACTTTAACATACGTTTGGGGGGAAGCGGGGGGGGGGTTTGGCCTAGAAATTTCCATAGATTAAAAAAAAAATCCTCCCTGCTGGGGGTACCTGTATTGCTTTCAAACCAGAATCAGCAACAGTCATAAACTAGTCTAGGCCTGTAGCAAAACAATGACCATCCCTTTCCCCCTCTACGTACAAACGCCACAGGAGAGTCTACCCTGCCCACTTCAGATGTGCATGCACGTTTGCCCATTTCATGTTTTATAGCATACATGTAACTAAATGGGTAACCTGATGATACCAGCTAGTTCCACCAGACTTTAAACTGAGAGGAAAATTCAGCTTTTTGCCTCAGAGCAAATCTCTATACAAATTTTAAGCAGCTTAAATTCTAGTAACAATAAAAGTTAACTTTAATATGTTCACTGATTTGTCTTGCCATAGTCACATCATTTGAGCTTCACATGCCTGGCCTTTTGTAAAACAGAGAGCAGAGAGAGGTCACTGGTTCTCAACCTCATGGGACTCGAGGCACCCCTTGGTAGACTCGAGGTACTTCTAGGTAAATGCCAGCTCTTAGTTTTCATTCATTTTTTGACTATAAAAAAATAATAGAGCAAGAACTTGGTCAGAATATTTTTTTACAGGATGAATTCCTATTTCAAATCTGTCCTTTCTAAAGGCCTAAATTTCTGTCCAGAAAAATACCCTAATAAAATACTTCAATGTGGAGAACTAGAAGAATTCTTCTGATGCCTCTGCCTCGAGGAACATTTCCACAACCAAAATGAATCCACTTCCAACAACAACCGATCCTCTGACAACATTGAGGAAAAGATCAAACCCCCCCAAAACATCAGATTGGACACCTCACAGTAGATGAAACTCTAACCTTGACTGCTATATTGATGGCTTCAGGGAAAGAATGAACAATGAAATAATCAACACCACATGCCACCATAACAACCTCTCCCTATCAGAGAAAGGCCATTGAATCTCTAAGATCTAACCACCAAAGAATAATAAACCAGCAGATAAAGGAGGAACCAGTAATCTTTAACCGTGAAGACAACATAAAAGAAGCCAAGAGACACCACCTACTACAAAGAACTACAGGCAGATCCTACTCCGCTTTTAACCTTGAAACTCAAAAATACTAGCAAATCCTTTCCTTCAGAACTACAAGAAAAACTACAGACCTTGATTCCCCCCCCACCTAAGCCAGGGACTTTTTACATGCTCCCTAACATCCACAAACAAGGGAACCCTGGCAGACTTATCATACTCAACCACACAACCCTAACTAAGGAAATATCAGGTTTCATCAAATCAATCATAAAACCACTTGTCATCCAAAGAGCGAGTTTTGTCCAAGACACTACAGACTTTCTATGAAAACTTAAAAATATAGATCACCTTCGCAGCAACACACTCCTAGCCACTGTGGATATTACCAGCTTATACACCAACATCCCACACCAGGATGGCATCCAAGCCTGCCTTACATACCTACAAGAGCAAGATGACAACTCAGAGTACAAACCCAAAGATATTACTGACCTTATACACTTCATCCTCACACAACAATTTCACTTTTAATAACCAACACTTCCACCACACCATGGGCACAGCTATGGGCACCAAAATGGCCCCACAGTATGCCAACCTTTATATAAGCCATCTGGAAAAAGAATTCCTCAGGGACTGCACCATCAAACCGTTGCTATACTTAAGATATATCAATGACATCATCATCATTTGGATTGAAAACCTACAATCTCTGATTGAGCTCCATCAGAAATCTAACAATCATCACCCCTCCATCCGACTATCTCTTGAGTACTCCAGCACCAACATCTCCTTTTTAGACCCAATGATCAGTATCCAGAATGGTAAAATACAGACCACATTATACAAGAAACCCACAGAGCAACATACATATCTGCACAGAACCAGCAATCACCCGAAACACACCACAAAAGCTGTGATATACAGCCAAGCCCCTGGATACCACAGAATTTGCACTGAGGAGAACACCCGAGATTGCCACCTCACAAATGTTAAAACGGCTTTCACTCAACAAGGACACTCCTCCCGAGAGATAGATTGCACCGGGATACCACGTAAAGAATTGCTACAGTACAGAAGGAAAACCCCCGCGAATCGCACACCGCTGGTTATGACATACCAGCCCTCCCTTGAACCTATACGGAAAATCCTCAAACAATTGCAACCCATACTAGAAGTAGACCCGATTCTTAAACAGATCTTCCCAGAGCCACCCATCCTAGCCTTCAAACAAGCACAGAACCTCGCTAACCTCATCACCAGAAGCAAGTTTCCTACGGTCCAAGACACAACAAATGGACCCAGACCATGCCAGGACAAGAAATGCAAAACCTGCCAACACATCTTCACCACCCCCTCCACAATGACTACACCCCACACCAGAGCCATCATCATTCCTGGATTTTACAGCTGCACCTCCAGAAATGTAAGCTCTCATCCAGTGCACCAAATGCCCTGATGGAAAATACACAGGAGAGACCAAACAACAGCTGCGCACCAGAATGAATGCACACCAGAAATCTATTAGAAACAAGAATACCCAATTACGGATGGGGGCACGTTTCTCACAAGAAAACCTCTCAGTTCTAATCCTCAAAGGGAATTTACAAAATACCTTCTACAGATGAGCCTATGAACTTCACTTCATCAACATCCTGGATACAAAAAACATAGACTAAATATAGACACTGGATTTATGACATATTATAATCTCCCTAACTTTTGAGTCTCTAGGTACCTCTCCACTATTTACCTGCTACATTCATCCCCCCCTTCTACCCCCTTCCCCTCCCCCCCCCCACCCCTCCCCGCCGCCCGGCTTCTTTACTATTCATTCCATCCAAGAGGAGCACACACCAAATGCAGATGCTTCCTCAGTCTGACAAAGGGCTTTTAAGCCCAAAAGCTTGCTAAGAAAATTGTTTCCAGCTATTTAGTTGGTCTAATAAAAGGTATCAGATTTACCCAAATAACCTTGTCTGCCTATTTGAAATCTCTGGGTTTATCTTATGAAGCATGCTTGCACATGTAACAGCACTGTGTGAGGCCCCCCCACACGAGAATCACTGATACAGATGCTAAGGTAAGTTATTTGTTCAGTCACTCGCCTTTCCTCAGTCATAGCAGGGAAGGGAGCAAAACCACAAACACCCTCTGGAAGCTGTGCAAGGGGACTGCACAAAAGGGTATCAGAATTGGAAAAAAGTTCCTTACTTCCAAATACCTGTCAGCTTTGTGACCGGAGTAGCTGAACCACTTGGAAAAATGGTCCAGAGATAGCACAAGATGTGTACAAAGAGTGTGTATCCACTGCAGCCCAGCCCAAAAAGTTGGAGTACTAGTTAACATTATTTAAGGCAGCATTAGCCTTCTCTCTGCATTTTATGACCTTCCAACAGAGAGGTCACAGTGAACAAATCTCTCAGACCACAGAGTAGTCTAT